ATCTCTCCCTGCCCCGGCACTAAGGTGAGGGAGGCTCCACTTGGCATCTTCTCTCCATTGTGATATAGAGAGGGTGAGAAGGACTTGGGGCCTGGTGAGGACCACCTGCAGGGGCCCCCCAACAAGCCCTATACTTAGGATCTTTTTTCCCCCTCAGGAAATCAACCTGGAGAAAGACTGGAAGCTGATCACGCTCTTCATTGGGAGCAACGACTTGTGTCATTACTGCGAGAATCCGGTGGGGCCCTGAGCAACCCCACTGGGAACCTGGGAAGGGAGCTGCTGGCCAATGGCATCATCCGTGCCCAGGGCCCTGAGCTCCCTCAGGCTCTCCCAGGCACCTGAGTCTGCCCAGGCAGCATCTGGCTCACACATGCCCCATGAGGCCTGGCCTTTCCCACTGCTGAGAGGTCCCTGGGAGAACACTGGTTCCCGGATTCCAGAAGTGTCTAGATACACCCACACTTCAGGCACTGCTGATGGGCCGCCTCTCAAATGCACACAAATACGTTCTCTGGTATCCAGTGGGTCTCTAGTGGACCCCACCCCATACCTGCTTGCAGTTCCTGCCCCTGTTTTTTGGTGTTTTTTTTGTGGGGGGGGTATAGGATGTCCAGGGGGTGGCTGAAACAATGTGATAAATGGGCGTGGTTCCTACTGGGAACCAGCCCCAACAGGATAGCTGCGGCCGTTCAGTGACATCATGGGTTAACCAACCTCAGTTGCTGGCCTGGGAACCCAACCTTGTTCCTACCATTGTTTCTATAGGGAAACAAGTCCAGACTTACACACTTTTGGAAGTTGTAACTTTTGGAATACATCTCGTTCTAAGTTGAGGATGTTTTGTATTTTATTTGGCCAGAAAAAGGCAGCTGCCATAACTCAGAGGCTGTGGTAGACTGTTTGGCAGTCACAGGATAGGGGAGAGGGGAGTTATTATTCCTTGTGGCTCAGAGAAACAAGCACCGAAGGGCTGATAAGAATTTCCTCCCCCACAAGTTCCATTCCCTCTTCCAGGCCTCTTCCCTCTGTTCTCTCCCTTACTGCCCAGACTCTAGAGGCAGAAGTAACCCAACCCCATGGGGATCTAAATGTCATTGTGTCCTAGACTCACCGGGCTCCAGGAAGCCAGACGTGACCCTGGAGCCTCCTGTGGACACTTGGTATAAGAAAATGCCTCTGTTAGCCCCAGAATACCTGCCCCTTAGGCAAATCGGTTTATACTCCTGAGAGCAATTTTGTGAAGAGGACCTGAAGGCCACCACTCACAGGAAGGGGCTAAACCAACCTCTAGTCAGTCGGGAGATGGGTTAGAGGAGACCCTCGAGCTGAGCCAAAAGGGGTAGTAGGAATTAGGAAGAGGCAGGGGGGCCAGCATGGACAAAGTCCACAGGAAAGAAAGCACAGCCACCAAGGGCACCATTGTGGTTGGAGAAGGTTGAGGCTGGTGACAGGTGGGACTGGAGAGGTGGCAGGGCCCAGCACCTCTCCAGTTTGAGATACCATGGAGCAGAGTGGGGTGGGTATTGTTCTTGGTGTCCAGTAGGGGTCGAGGGATGGTTTCTTACTGGAGACACTGTTCACCAGCAACAAGGGCTGAGCTTCCCAGCCCATCCAGTAAGATCAAAGCCCCTCTGTACCCACTCTGCCACCATCCCAGGGTTTTCTCTATGCTGGGCCTCGCTCTCCTCCTCCTGAGGAAAACCCAGGGGCTGAGGAGAACCCCCTTCTATCTTCACAGGAGGCCCACTCAGCCGGGGAGTATGTTCGGCATCTCCAACAGGCTCTGGACATCCTCTACAAGGAGGTAGGAAAGAGCAGAGGCGCGTTCCTGGGTCCCATTTCCTGCCAGCAACGTGCCTGTCTGCTCCCTCCCTTGGGCTGCTCCCAGGGTGCATGCAGGCCAGGTGTGTTCCGTGAGATGCATGCAGAGCAGACCCCCAGCATGAACGGCACCAGGATGGGAGGAGGCAGAGGCCAAGGTCCTCTGAGGAGGAAATTCTAACTAGATCAGACTGTATCATTTGGCAGCAAAGAGCATACCTCTGGAGCCAGGTGGCCTTGTTTGTAGCCAGGCACCCTGGCTTCCTAGCAATGTGACTTCGAGCAAGTGACGTCTGTTTCCCAATCTATTGCAGAATGTGGGCCAATAAAGAAGAGTCAGTGAGATAGTATAAGTCACGCCCCCTTTCTGGGCCTCAGTTTCCTTATTGGTAAAATTTGGGAGGGGGACGTGAAGATGTAGATGAGCCCCTGGGCTCCTTCCAGCAGCCACTAACGCCTGTCCCCCCAACTCCTGCGGACTAATGAAGCCCACCCACTCTGCTCCCCACAGCTTCCGAGAGCTTTCATCAACGTGGTGGAGGTCATGGAGCTGACTGGCCTGCACCAGGGCCAAGGTGGGAAATGTGACATGCCACTGGCAGCTCAGTAAGTACACAGTCACGGTCCCAGGGTGAGGGCACCTGGGGAGAGCAGGGCTCACAGATGCCAATGATGAGACCATTAAAGACAGAGCAGACCGTTCTGTCCAGAGAACAACATCAGCTATTAGCCAGGGGCTTGGAAAACCATTTGGAATTACCTCTACATTATCAAAAGCCTACTATATACAAGTCACTTCGTTTCTCTGGACCCCAGTTTGCTTTTCTGTAAAGTGAGACAGAGAGGCCAAATGATCCTTAAGGCCCCCCTGACATTGCTTACATTTCCTAACTCCAACTCCAGTGAGTGGTCCCATGTTTGAGAGGCAGCCCAGGGCAATGAGCTTTTAAGACAGCTCTATCTGGCTTCAAATCCTGCTTCTGCCCTTTTAGGAGCTGTGGGGCCTTGCACAAACAACCTAACCCTCTCTGGGCCTTCTACTCCTCACCTGTAAAATCTTCTTGCAAAGTAGATGTGAGGTCTAGAGGAAATGCATGCAAATAGTGGCTTTTGTAGTGTCCTTTGATAGGACTGTCCTTGAAAGCCAGGCTTGGAGCTAAGGTAATAATGTGCAAGATGAGAATTTCTGTTGGGAGGCGGAATTTATTTAAAGCTCAGATGCAACCCCAGCAGGAAGCTGCCCCACTGGACTCCTTGTCTTACAGGAGCAACTGCACTTGCTTTAAACGCTTCCAGGAGAACTCCCTGGAGATGCAAGAACTGAAGAAAGTGAACTGGAACTTCCAGGTAACTCTGCCCCTTTCTCTTCCTGGTCCAGGTGAGAGACCCCTTTCCTCCAGAGCAAGGATTCCAAAGTCAAACATTCAGCAGGGCTTTCCTGAGAGCAAGGCCACTCCCTAAAGGCAGATCATGGACCCTGAAATATTTATCCAGGCGAATTGAACACCAAGGCTGGGGAAGGGAGTGAGAACTTTCAGAAGGGAACCTGGGAGGACTCCCAGCCCCAAGTCAACAGTACTCAGCTCCCAGATGGTACTGTCCCTCACCCAGAGGTGGGAAGGGTAATTTCACTGCCTGTTGGTCTCTCTCCCTCATTAAGAACTTAAGGCTTAGTCCCACCCTACTAAGCCTCCTCTCCCTTGATATGCCCGCCCTGAGCCTTTCTGTAACGTGCCCATCTCATGAACAGAGCATGTCTCCTCACCACGTCCCCTGACCAAACTTCATCCTGCACTTCACTGACCCTAAAGCACTACATGGTTTTGTTTTTTTCTGGTTTTTATCGTCTCCTTTTCCCAGATGGATATTAAGCTCCTTGAGGATAAGCACATCTTGTCTATCCCTTTTAGAGTCCACATTTTGGCACTTAATAAATCCAAAGACTGAATACTCGGCCCTCAAGTTCATAAGGCATTTGGGGAGCTGATGTTGAAAAGCTCCCTACCTGAGCTAGATCTGAACTGGAGCCAGGGTTCTAACTCACCTCTGCATGCAGTGAGAACAGGGGAGGCCTTTGGCCCATGCAGTCTGGTCAGCAGCTCAGACCCAGCCTTACAGAGACGTCAGAGTGGAACTAGGTGGTGCTCCTGCCTGGGTGCAGGTGAAACGGATGCATGCATGCACATTAGAGCAGCCCCTTTAAGTCACCTTTGTCTGGTGGGTTGGCCAGCATCACTACCAGCCCCAGGCAGCAGGACTGGAACCTGTCTGTCCAGCCTTGTCAGCGGGGTTGAACCGCCTCTCTCCCCATTCCCAGAGTGCCGTCTCCAAGTTCTCCTACTGGCACCAGTACCTGCAGCGTGAGGACTTCACGGTGGTCGTGCAGCCTTTCTTCCGAAACACCCTTGTCCCCCTGAACGAGGTAAGCTGCAGGCATTTCTGGGAAGCACGTGTGTAGAGGCTGTATCTTAGGCAGTGTATTTCCTTCTCTACGTGGGCTTTTTGTTTGAACCCTCTCCCTCCAAAAGGACTCCCAAGGGGTGGTTTTTTTTCTGCTTTTCCTCTTCCCCTCCACCCTTTTTTGGAGTATGATTAGAACCTCGAAGTACTTAGAAAGAAAAAGAGAAAATCCACATTGACCAAGATCCTCAGGCATGGCCCTGCTGTTTGCTGGATTGGGATAGAATGGAAAGCTTCCTAAAAATATTATTACTCTTTTTCAACTGTTAGGGCAGGGACGCTGAAGGGAAAGGGGTGAACTGTGGGTAGCTATAATTCATGTCTGTTTAAGAGATAAAAATTCAAAACTTGTGGGAATTTCTCCATCAATATCTGAGCCAGGTGGCAGCAGAGTTAGAAAGGATGAGAGAAGAAATGCCCAGGGTGCCTGCTGGGTCAGGGGCAGGTAGCAGTGTGCGTGTTCCAGGAAGATAATCCCCTTGCCTTCGGTTACAGAGAGGGGGCGCTGACCTCACCTTCTTCTCTGAGGACTGTTTGCACTTCTCAGAACGCGGCCACGCCGAGATGGCCATTGCGCTCTGGAACAACATGGTGAGTGCCGAGAGGGCCTGGGTCAAAGCGGGCAACCCCAAGATGGCGGCCATTTCCCACAACAAAAACCTACTGGCTGCCATTGCTCCTTTCTTCCCAAAACTCAACAGGGCCGCGCACCTCGTTTGTCCTGACAGGTTTAATTCTTTCAGTAATGCCCCAGTACTGTGGGGGGAATAACTTGGTAATCAGATAGACTGGATGAACATAACAGCTTCAACCCCTTACCGTGTGATCTTGGGCAAATGATCTCTCTCTCTCTCTGACCATCTGTAAAAACAATGAAAATGACACAGATCTCAGAAATTTGAGATGTGTGAACAGCACCCAGCACCATAATTAACATTCAACAAATGTCAGCCCCATCCCTCCAGTCTTAACACATCCCCAACTATTATTTCTTTAAACAGCAAAAAGAGCCACCCAGCCTGTTTTCCCAGGCTGCCAGCTATTCTCATCCTTTCTTAAGGTGGTAAAGGGGACCTTATGCAATGAACACACAGCCCAGGGGCTCCAGGGACACCTGGCCTTGCCTCTGCCCTTTATGCCTGGCCACTCACTACGGGGGCAGGCAGCTACATTTGCACAGAGCTTGACTTATCCTTCTGCACAGAGCAAATGAAATGTCTTTCCAAGCCACTGGCTTCTTTTGATCTAGGCTCACTGGGTAACCCAATCCCCAACCTGCACGCTCCCTCATTTCGCCCAGGTTGACTAAACAGTCTATACTCCCGCTCCTTTTACTGCAGTTTCAGGTCTGCTCTGTCTCTGCCAACCACCACTGTGCAAATATTCCCACACCTGTCAACTCATCCAATAGGTCACAATATTGACTTTCTCCTTAGCTGCACCACCTCCTCCCTCTCTAGCAACTTCTTCTTCTCAGAACAGCTTATAAGCAGGTTTTATCCTTAGCCTACTTAATTGCTGACTCTGTCGTTCTCTGCTTTTGTTTTTCTGGTGTTTTCCTCCTGTTGACATCACATTCAGCCTACTCCTAAATCTTCCATCACACTCTGCCAGCCCAGGACTCTGAATTTCAGTTCCCTCCCACCCAACCTCCACAGTCATTTTTTAAAATCCAAGTTGGCACCATTTAACTCATTTCTTTTGTAGGTTTTTGTTCTAAAGTCCAGTTGGCCCTTCAGTGGCTGAGTCATGCGACTTCATTGCTTTTAAAATCCTCCCCAAAGAATGGGCATCTATGCACAGTCCCATTTATCCCCCCGAGATCTCGGATATAGAGCCCTTGCATCATGCCAACTTTCGTGATCATCTTCTTACTGGAATTTCACCCTACAGTGGCATAAAATAAATAGGCCATTAGAAGTAGAAGAAAGCTCTTAGAGGTCATCTAGCCAGAGGGCCCTGTAACTAAACTACAGAGACAGGAAGCAATTTGCCCAGGATCACACAGCCAGTTAGTGGCAGAGCAGGCATTAGAACCCAGGTCTAATTGCCTAGTGTCCTGGACACAGCACCACCTGGCCTTCCTGCTCCCAACCAGATAAGCACATATGTAACCGCTGAATTCATGTCTCATAATTAGAGTCCTATGACATAGTGTCTGCAGGCTTTGGCTGACACTCCCAGGGTATCCTACTGTGGCAACAAGGACACTTTCAACTTTTCATCTCCTGCCCGCCCTCCCTTAACAGTTTACACCTCCTCCAGAGACTTTTGCAAAGCCAGAAACACCAGCAGTACCAGGAAACGCTTTTCCTTTTCTTTCTTTGGTCTTTTTCTAAACAGCTTTTCCTTTTTTTCTGATGCCTCTTCCTCCACTGCTGGCTGCTCCCTCCTGTGGAAATCCCACTCTCACCTAATATTTGCATCTCCCCAGGTGCTGGGTGACAACCTAGCCTCCTGATTGGTGTCCCTGTCTCCAGGTTTAAAGCCCTTAGAACAGCCATTCTCTGCTCTGGCTGTAGAGTAGAACCATCTGGAGGCTTTACAAACAATTCATGCCTGCAGCCACTTTGGAAAACACTTTGGCACATCTACCGAAGCTGAACATGTATTTCCTGTAGCCCCAAAACTCCACTCCTGGGACCCCATTAGGAAGGAACACACAGGTTCACCAAAAGATTATAAAAGAATTTTCAGAGCAGCACTATTCATTATCCCCAAACGTCCAGCAACAGGAGAATGGATAAACAAACTGGCACATTGATACAATGGAACACTTTCAACAACGAGAACAAACAAACCAACAAATGCAGCAATATACAAAGGGTGCCAAAAATATATATACACATTTTAAGAAAGGAAAAAAGCTATTAAAATTGTAATACTCAATATATACCAATAACAAAAGATTAATACAAGTCATGTTTGACTTCTGCAGTTACAAGAGGTGCTCAAAGTGGTTACCATCAGCATCCAGATGCTTCTGATTATGGCGAACTACTGCTTGAGCAATGCTGACCAAAGTGTCCACTTGTACACATTTTTTTGGCACCTCCAGTATATCAATTTAAAAAACAAGCAAATTAACCTATGGTCGTATTGGGGGGTTAACTGTACTGGAAGAGGGTAGCAGGGGGGCCCTCAGTGCTGATAATATCCTGTTCCTTGATCGGGATGCTGGTTACATGGGTATGCTCACTTCATCACAATTTATCATCTGCTCACTTATGACTTGTACATGTTACTTTATGTGTTAGCGTCAATAAAAAGTTTACTTAAACAAAACAAAACAAAACACCAGTGCCTGGGCCTCATCCCTAGAAATTCTGACTTAGTCAGGAGTGGCACCTGGGTTTAGTATGTTTTCAAAGCTCCTCAGGTAACATTATTCAGGATTTGCAAACCATTGCCTGAGATTTATGCCCCACAGGGCAACCACAATAGTCGGCAGAAATGAAAATCTGACCAAGTCACAACCTGCTTTCAAATTTCCAAGGCCTGCTTCTCCCAGAGGGAGAAAGGCCAGGCCCCGGAACACACCAGGCCTTCTGGGACTTGGCCCCATTTAACCTGGCCCGCAGCTGCTCCCCCGCCCTCTGATTTGCGCTTAGCAATCTAATAAGGAATGCAGTTTCCTGTGCCTCCCATGCTGTCTCTGCCTCTGTGTGTCTGCTCTCGCTAATCCCCTTTTCTGGGACTGCCCTTCCAACCTGCTTCTCCTGGTTAACTCTTATTCATCTCAACACTCAACTCCAGTGCCAGTTCCTACAGGAAGCCTTCTCTGAATCCTCAGAGCGGTCTAGAGGCCCACTCAACCCCATTGCACACTGTCCCAGTCCTGTCATTTGGCTGGCACTTTGTTGGCGTCTGGCTTAAGAAAGGTGAGTTCTAGGGAGAAGCACCCCATTTCCTGTGGCCAGCCCCAGGCCTTCTCGGGCCCCGAGCTTCTCCTCTCAAGTCTCCGTGATTCCTGTTCATCCATCCACTCACTCAACAACTATTTACTGAGTATCACTATGTGGTGAGCACTGTCCCAGGTGCTAGGGGGACGTAGCAGTGAAAAAGCATGTCCCTGTCTTAATAGACATTACACTCTAGTGTGCAAGAGACAGATAAAAACCCAAATAAACTAACAAGGTAATGTCTGACCACATCAGGGCTTAAACAAAAATAAAGCAGGGTGATGTGACAGAGTAATGGTGGGTAGGAAGGAGGCCTCCTGAAGAAGTGACATGTGCACTGAGAGAGCTGCCAGGCACGCAGAGCTCTGGGCTAGAGTGTTGCAGGCAGAGGAAACAGGACCTGTGTGGGCCTGGTGTCAGAAATGAGCTGGAAGTGACTGAGAAACCTAAAGGCTAGTGTGACTGGAGGGAAGTGGGCGGGGTCAGAGGTGAGCAGCGGCTAGTCCTTGGATGGCTTTCGACAGGACAGGCATATGACCTGGTTTACCCTCTGGCTGATGTGTAGCGATGGACTGGAAGGTGGCAAGAGTGGAACTGAAAAGACCATTAGGGGGCTGCTGGAGCCCGGTTCAAAGACGAATGTGGCTGGGGCTAGAGTGATGGCATAGAGGAGAGAAGTGGTCAGACCCGGGATCTGTTTTAGACTCACTGATGGATGAGGTCAAAGAAGAATAAAGGATGATGCCTCAGTTTGGGGTTGAGGAAATTGGATGGATGTTTGAGGTTGCAGAGAGAAATAGGCTAGGTCGGGAAAATCAAAGTTCCCTTTTGGATTTGGTAAAGTGTGATGTGTCTTCCAGACATCCACCTGGAGTTATCAGGTAAGCTGTTAAATATAGTAGTCTGGAGCTCAGAGGAGTTGGTTAGGGATGGGGATTTCAGAAAAAAATGTGGGGATCATCAGCACAGAGGTGAAATGCAAAACCACAGGATTAACGGGGAGTTCCTAGAGAAAGAATAAGTGGGAAAGAGTGTAGGACCAACTACCAAGCCCTAGGATATTCATTCCAACTTTTGACACCAGCAGCAGAGGAGGAGCAAGTGGGGAGAAGGGAAGCAAGAAGAATGCCATGTCCAGGGAGTCAAGAGAAGTATTTTGAAAGGGAGGCATCAACTCTGACAAATACTGCTGGAAAGTCAAGCAAGACAATGACATAAAAGGGACCATTGGATCTGGCAATATGGAGGCCACTGGTGACCTTGATCAGAGCTTCAGTCAAGTGATGGAGACTGAAGTCTGATTAGAATGGGTTTCAGGGAAAAGGAGAGGTTGGGAAGTATAGTCAGTGACCACAAACAACTCTTCTAAGAGTTATAAAGAGCAATGGCGAAGGTGCTTAGAGGGGATGAGACCCAGGGGAGGACGGTGAAAGGATGGGAGATAGAGTAGGTTGTGCTCTGACAGCAAGGAGCCAGTAGAAAGGGAGAAACGCATGCAGTCATGAAACCCATATAATCTTTACCTTTCTCTGCCCCAACTGCACTGGGAATCAGCCAACCTGACCGTTAGCATCCATCTTTCACTAGGTGGTTCTGTTACATAGTGCTCAGTAAAAATAATACTATCTTATATATGTAAGCCTCCCCTGCTCACACATGCTTTCATTTCTTCTCATTTGAAGCTCACAACAACCCGATGCGGAGTTGTCAAGACAGGGTTTAGTGCCCAGCCCCTAACCTTGGAGACAATTAAGGAGCCTGCCTAGCACCACACAGGTCATTATCAGCAGAGCCAGGACCCCAGCTGATGTGCCCACTGGTGTTCTGTCCACTTACCACGGTGTCTATCCCAGGGCCAGAGCAGCCCTCCCTCCTTTAATTATGTTACTAAGGAACATGTATAAAAGGCTAAAACAACAAAAGGGAGATCATGGATTAGGTGTGGTCATTAGCTGGCACAGTGTACTTTCACTTACCTCATAGGTAGTACCTGGGGGTCAGGAGCTGATGAGGTCAGGAACAGGCAGAGATGCAGATTAGAAGATAGTGCAGGCCAGATGTTCAGGAGAGAATCTGAATAGGTGAGAGTGCCAGGCGTCCATCCTTGGTGCTGGCCACATGTCAGGAAGCAGGCTACTTGCTCAAGATGCTGAGAGGAGAGGGTACAGCAGCTTCCAGCTTATTCAGAGGGCCCCAGGATCAAAAGCATTAAGCAGAACATCTCTGAACCACACTTGCTCCCAGGAATGTTTTGAGTAAACCTTTTCATCTATGGAAATAACATACAAAGGAGCTGAAGTGAGAAAACTCCGATTCCTTAAGGTTGACAAGCCAAGTGTAGTAACGGTGTCATGGTAACCAACGTTTTCAAAGTTTTCCTGAAATTGACTAGCCCTACGCACTTCAAGAAGTTGGTAAATATAATTAACACCATTTTATAAAATTGAAAATGCAGAGAGTTTGCAATTACAGCCACCCACAAGGGAAGCAGGAAGTAGAGGCTCTGGAAGCAGGAAATAGAAGCTCTGGGCTCTGCCCTTCCCCTCACTGTGGCCTCTGGACTGGTCACCCTCTCCTGGGCCTCAGTGTCCCTCCTTAGTAAATTCAGAACACAGACTCAGTGGCCCACCCTGCTCAGAACGGCTCTGACCTGTCACCCTGTGAGTGCGAATCGGGTCCAGCTCTGGCCTTGGGGCTGTTGGCGTCTGCCGTGGGTCTTGCTCCTTTGCTAGTTTCAACCTTACAAAAGGAGGAAATCTGGTGTCAGATACTCCTCCTAACAGGGCGGTCTCCCCCTGCTTTGGGAGTAATCAAGGTTTCCTTTTTCTCTCCACAGCTGGAACCAGTGGGCTATAAGACGACCTCCAACAACTTCACCTACAGCCGAACCAAACTCAAGTGTCCCTCTCCTGTGAGTTAAGTCCTGCCTGTCCAGTGTGGAACAGATGCTTGGGGGAGGGGTGGAGGGCAGAGGTGTGATATAGCACTTGGAGATCCAAAAATCCCCTGGGAGGCTTTGTCATCATGCACCTTCACTCACTGCCACCATTCTGCAGTCTCGCCTCTCTCCTCATTGCTCCTGATGCTTCTCAGCTCCTCTGAGTGTGGGCAGCCATGAGTGAGGGAAGAGAAAAAGCAGCAGTCTTACTACAGTGGGAAGAGGCACTCACAGGAGGCAGATAGCACTGGCCAGAACCTTGAGTCAGCCTCTACCCCTGAGGGGTCTGAGTCATCCTGTGTCATAAACATGGTTGAGGAGTTCTCTCATGCCAGACATGCTACTAGGAAGGGGGGGTGGGGGGGCGGGGTTGGGAGGCAGAGAAATAAGACACCGAGTCTGCCCTGTGAGCCTGCAGCCTCCTGCCTCCCTTTCCACCACTGTCATCTTCCAGGCCCTTATTGCCCTCACTTAGACCGCGGAAAAATGCCTAACTTGCTCCCCAGCTCTCCCCTCTCCCCTCTCCATCTATCCCATAATCTCTGCCAGACACAGAGCGGCCCACCTGGAAGTAGCTCCAAGCTTGCCAAGACTGCTTGAAACGCTTTCCCGGTCCCTGCTGCCCACTGAAGAGCGTTCAGATGGGAGGCACCTTCCTTGATCGCCTTAGACACTGTCTGCCCCTGGAGAATGGAGCTGATTCTCAGACGAGCCCCACGATTGCCCACATCTGTGCTTTTACTCCTGCCATCTGCTCCTCCTGGAGGGTCATCCCCCACCTCCATCTATAAAACATTTTCACATCCTTCCCGGTCCAGATGTCGCCCTCTCTGGGCTACTCTTTCCCCTTATCTCACCCTACCGATCCTGCCCCAGACACACACCTGCCTTGGTTTCTCTTTTCTGTTTACACCTCTCATAAGACACTGGCTCCTTTGTGATGTGATTATTTCTCAACACGTCTTATCTCCCTGACTGGACAATGAGAGATGTCCCATCTTAACCCTCAGTTACTCTCCCAGCTCCCAGCACAGGGCTGCACACAGCAGGCACCCAATTAGCGTTCAGTGAGAGGGAGGAAAGAATCGGGGTGGCAGGCCCCAATGCCTCCTCTCCCAGCCCTTCCCATTTTGGATTCTCCAATCTACTGCAGAAGCAGCTGTCCTTCCGCACGGAACTTCGCTTCTCCCCAGGCCCTCCTGGAAGGGAGGATGAGCACAGTTGTCCAGGTGTGGCCTAGAGGAAACAGAGGCGAGATCTCTGCCAGCTCCCTAGGACTCTCTCTCTCCCATTGGTCACCTATCAGTTCCCAATCTTTCAAAATTGGATTGACAGGAAAGGAGATGCTGGTGAGACAGCACAAGGAGGTTTTAGCTGGGTATCGACCACTTTGGATACCCCTTTCTTCCTGCAGAGGATCTGGGCTCAGTCTAGGTGAAGGAGCTTTACAAACAGATGAGCTGTGGAAATGTGCAGTTTTTGTAGCATCTCTGGGATGGGGACTCAGCGAGCCTCAGGTGGGCAGATGGATGCTTTTCCGAGGCCCTTCACCCCTGACGCTCTTCTCCTCCGCAGGAGAGCCCTTACCTCCACACCCTGAGGAATAGCCAGCTACTCCAAGACCAGGCTGAAGCGGACCCCAATGTGCTCTCCTGGGCTGTGCCAGTGGCAGCAGGAGGTGGCGGCCTCATAGTTGGAGTCAGTGCTGTGATGGCATGGAGAGCCTTGAAAGGTCGTCGGCAGAGGGAAAATCCTCCAATAGGCCTGAATACTATGAGCTTCTAGGCCCGCCAGCCGTGTGTTTACACTCATCCTCCATTCCCCAACCATACTCCTTACCAGCCCTCTACCTCAGCCACCCCTGACCACCACAGAGAGCACTTGTTTCAGCACCTGGTAACCTAGGAAGCCAAAGGGATAATCAAGACTTCCTGGGGCCTGGGGCCTATGCTCCTGGAATTGGCAAATTTAAATAAAGGCCAAAGCCATTTTGTTCTTGGGTCAACCCGCTTAAAGCTCTCGCCTTCCATCTGTTGTGTGGTACAGGTGTGGGGGCTGGAGACTTTCATGTCCCGTCTCAGCCAGAGCTGCCCTAGTGGTAGCCGAGCATAGCCCAGAACGGCCCCCACCAGGCTCCAGCCCAGCACTGGAGGAGCATATATGTCCTCGGTCACCAAACCCACTGTTTCAAAGGTGGGAAAAACAATGGTCACGAGGTGGTGGCTGGAATTTTGGAGTTGGCTGGCCACCATCCAGTACAATCCAACACATACCTGTTGCACACCTGTTTTGTACCCAGGACAATGTAGAGCCTTGTGCTACCTCTGTGCATGGCACAGCCTGGCCAAGAAACCAACTCTTTCACAAGACAAGAAGCTCGGTGACTGTGTGTGATTCAGTGCTGGGGCATTGATGGGTAAATGTGTCTGATTGCTTTCAAAACTAGGGGGAGTTCCTTGGGAAAATTTCCTGGAACAGAGAAATTTTCAAATGTCATTTTAAAAAAAAGAAATTAAAAGGATTGGGGCATAAACACTTCCCATATCCTCAACCTGATTTTCTCAAGGTACCAAATTTAGGAAACACTTCCCCTTTCTCCTTTACCAGGCTGCTGAGAGAGGCTGATAATACCAGCTACACTCCTTTAGCTCCTGCTAGAGGCAAGGCCTGGAGCTGGATGTCTTACACAGTCCCTCTTTTATTCTGCACAAAAACCCAGGGAGGGGGTGATGAAACGTTTTGAAAATAGAAGTAGTGGTTGCACAACATTGTGAATGCACTCCATGGCCCTGACGATTCATGTTAAAATGGCTAATTGTATGTCGTGTGAATTTTACCTCAATAAAAAGCAAACAAAAAAAATCCATTACCATCAGCATTCTAAGTACCTCTCTGACCCCACAGCTTGGGATGACAAAGAATGTGAGTTCGAATCCCAGGTATACTATTTCAATGTGTGGCCTTTGGAGCAAACCCCATCACCAGCCTGAGCCCATGTCTCAGATACTTCATCTATAAAACTCAGAGTACCCATTTTGCCTGCCTCTCACAGCACTGCTAGAAAACAAGAAACGTATATAAAAATGCTCAGTAACTCAAAATACTGCAAACATGAAAGCGGGTTGCTTTCTCCTCTGTGGAGAGTTGAGATAGGGTCCAGACTGTGAGGGAAGTGGAGAGGTCCGGAGGTGGATGTGGGAACCTAGCACTACCATGTGGAGAAGACTTCCTGCCTTCCTCTCATAAGGTTCCTCATCTTATTTCTCTTTGGTAAAACAGAATAGAGTCCCCAGAAGACTTAGGTTCCATCCCAATGTTCTTCCAGCTTCAGTTTCTGTTTCTGTACAATGGGGACAACATGCCTGCCTCACTTCTTCCTATGGATTAAAACACATAGTGACTGAATTACGCATGTCCTCAAGAACCGCCACATGCCAGCTTGTGCTCCTGGCTCACCATCGTGTAACAACAAAGGGAACTGATTAAATCCAGGGGTTCACCCGCCACCCCTGTGATACTCAAGTTTCTATTCCTCCAATAGCTTCCTCTTCAAAGAATCATGGAATTCATAACCACGAGTCCCCTCGGTCGGGGTAGGAATTTACGCTCCCTGAGTAATCCAGGAGTCCCCAGTCTGAAAAACTAACAACAACAAAAAGTGATCCCAGGATGGTAACCAAGGAACACTTGGCAGAAACAAAGAGAAATCCTGCCTGGAAGGACATAAACTCAAGCTGGGCCCCGAATTCCCACCAAATATATGCTAAAAATCCCAAAATTTAAAACACGTGAGACTACCTACTTGAACCTGGTGGTAGTATATATGCATTGGCTACGTGCCATGTCCTGTACCTACAGGAAAATGTTCTGTCAAGTTAGGATGATCCCCACAGCCACACCATAAACGAAGCCATCAAATCTGGAGAAAGCTACGCTCCATGGTCCTCTCCATAGAGGCTTTTGAGTTCCAAAGAGATTCGTGTGGATTGAATTTGGTCAAAAACCTTCATAAAGAACATGGAACTTTAACGGAGCTCTGAAAGTTGGAGAGGTGATTTGGTCAGAAGCCAAAAAGAATGGGGTTTTGGAGACCAGGAAAACTTCATCTAAGCAGAGAGATGAACACGAGCATGGTATGTATAGGGGACAAGAAAACTAGAAAACAGGAGGATGGATGAGCCAGATACAGCTGGATTAGAGGGACACTATGGGAAGAGCAAGGTGTCGAGAGAGATTATATTGTTATAATGGTTGTAACATCAGACTGCATTGTATTTGGGACTATAAATGTTATTGGGAAAAGATTAGTACAAGGAAAAATAATGCCAAGAAAAGCTGACAGAGTGCTTACACTGTGACATGCATGGTGGTGCACAATAATTAAAACTTCTACTTCCCTATTACCATCCCCTTTTTACAGAGGAGAAAAACCGAGACTCAGAGAAGAGGTAACTGGCCCACAGTTATACACTTTCATTACATAATGGGACACTCATCAAAATAGTGTCCAGGGTAAGGGTAGCCCCCAAACATAAAACAGGTGATTCCATCAGTGAATTGGGCCAAACTGAAAATGAATGTGGTATAAAATAAAAATCTAGAAAAGGAGGGTATTGTCTTCACAAGTCTGTGATAGCACCGTGAGTTCCTCTGCTTTCTCAATTGGTCTGAAGAACTCAGCCATCTCTAGTTAATAAGCTACGATTTAAAAAAAATTAACTAAAGGGACTAAGATTTATTTTACTAGAATATATGTGGAGTTAGAGCAGCAGGCAAACCTTTTAATTAGAAAAGAAAAATGAAGGGCCGGCCGAGTGGCGCGTTGGTTAAGAACTGGC